GGCATACTGAAGCATTATGAAGATGATATGTGTCACTATGAGGAATCATCATCGTTGCAAATATAAAAATATTAAACATTTGCTCCATATCCATGGGGAGGGTAAATTATATTGGTTAAATGATCATATTATTATCACAATAGGTGTACTGTCTGCGAGTTTACAATACATTTCTGTATTATTATAAATTTCAACCATTGGAAAATACTAAAATATATCAGATTGAACTTCTTAACAAACAATATTAGCTACAGAAAAGCTCATACAGCCAAATATTACTTTATGCAGCTATACACAAGCTTATTTTCCTTTGAACCAGCTAAATTAGCCGGTGGGTTTAGTGTTTTGGTGAAAAAAATAAATGATTTTATATAGTTAGGACACTCAACCTAACGTTTCAATAGTAAAAACAGTAGGTTCTACTATTTTTTGATACTTTACAAAGCGGCGCAGGTGGTGTAGTGGTAAGCGTGATTACTTCTCACCACAGCAGGCCTGGGTTCAATCCCAGGCGGCGCCACAGGGATGTTCTGAGGCATAATATCTCTGATCACGCCTTCCTTCGGCAAGTAAAACCGTTGGTCCCCTGTTCATGAGTTGATGGGTCGATAGGTAGGGTTCAGGTGTGGGCGCTGCCTCCCTGGCGTCGGTATCATTGATGCTCAAGCACGGAAAACAAGATCGACGAAAAACAAATAAAAAGGGAAAAAAAAACTTTACGGACACCCATTACTATTTTTTTAAATGCTTTAAATGATTAGGAAAAACTCATTTGTGACTGGTTTTTCTTATATCATCACTCTAACTAGCCACCCTGGTGCATAAAACTGGATAAAATTAAAAAAAAATCCAATTTTTTAGAGAAAATTTAAGCGCTGCAAAATAAATGTTTGCTGTTAAATTCATAACACATAAGCTTAGGGACACGCTAAGCTTTTTGAAAGTAACTATTTGATTTGACAGTCATAGGATGCGTATAGTACTACGTGTTGCGTTAAAAATAATGACAGTGATTATTCACTTCCACTAATAGTTACGAATTCCGTTTCAATTTGCCCCGGTGTAGCTTTTTTGAATTAAATTCTAGCGGTCGAAATCACAAGAGCCTAACTGCGATGATCGATTCCAAGCCTGATATTGTGGTTACTAATAGTTACTCCAAAAATCGATTTGTTTTTATTAATTAAAACTAACTGGGCGCTAAAATATCGATCTACATGCGCTTCACATTTTGGAACTTGTATTTTTTTTTTTCAAAATTGCGCTATGACATTTTTCTCTAAATTGAGCACGATGCCCTCACTTTTCGTCAAAATAACGTCCGAGACAAAGTTGTTTAGAAATGTAAAGTTTTTCTGGGAAAAAAACATGCACGTTTTTTAGTAATGTTGAGAAAAATAAAAAAGAGGAATATAAATTGAAATATCTCAAAAAGTATGTCTTCAATATTTCTAATTTATTTTTTAAATAAAGCTCATGAAAAATGAAAACTTTTGGAGTATTTAAAACCATGAGCTTTTTTTTTAATTGGGACTTTGAGATTTTAACACAATTTTTGAATTTTTACTCAAAATCACATAAGTAGGTATAATAATAAACAGGTATATTTTTTCAGAAAGACTGTATTTATCTTTACAAATTTGTATCAGACGTCATTTCGATCCGTGCTACAGTTTTTTTTTTTTGAAAATGATAAAAGCGCCATTTTGAAGTAAATTGCATCATCTAAAATGGCCTAATTTTTGCAAAAATGTGAATGATGTTATGGACAATTATTGGCATTAAGCTGCTGTTAGAAAAGTAGTGCACAAACATTCATAATGGAATTTTTGGACGCCTTCCATTAGGGTAAACGCAGCAATAGTGGAGGTACGTTAGTGCAATGTGTTCCTATAGTGGCTTATGGTGACTTCATAAGCCACTGTAGAAACACATTACTCTAACATACCTCCACTGATTGCTCATCTAATCACGCTTACCACTACACCACCGGCTCCACACCTTTCAATTTAGATTATTATTATTTAGATTTTTAGATTAAATTTAGATTAAATTACAAATTAATAATCAAATATTTAAAAAAAAATATATTCCAGTTATACTACACGCAAACCAAAAATCTATTACAATGAATGTTAGTTCCATTTCCTATCATCCTCTGTATATGAACATCGCAGCGAATGTTAGAAGTTGACCTTGCAGGCGATGTAATGGTTTTTTGCCTTTTTTATTTCGTGTTCTGTCTGTGCTTTCACCTACACAAGCAAGCATTTGCCTTGATTTTTATGTATAACATGGTAGACCGACGCACACACTTGCCTCGAATCTCTCCAGCAGAAAAAAAGCATACGAAGTCGAGTGTGAGAGGAAATGAGCGCTTCTTGTTCGCTTTTAGGCTATCCTTCTTCAGAAGCATAGAGAGAGCAGTGGAGAAAGCACAGGTCTGATAATCGCAACGTTCGTTGTTCGAGTCCAGTCGGCAACCTTTTTCCTATTTTTTTCGACATAATTAATTTACCTCACTAATACACTCTTCATTTTTCGGTCTCCAATTGTCTTGCATTGGACCGCAGCTAGGTATATCGCATCCTCGGTTCATGCGGTCTCCACTTACATCCTCTGATGATGAATCCCACATAATTGTAAGCGAATCTTACATCCACTGGTTGGGTGTAGAAATAAAATTTGTTGCGCCCCACAGTTGTGTAATCCAGATTTGAGTGGGAAAATGTGTTTTTAAGTATGTGGTGTCTTCGGGAAATTTTCTTGAAATTGATAGATCTAACTTTTGACGCTATTCGTTTTTGGATTAATTCACCTAGAGGTCATTTTTTCAATTGTTAATATTGGTGTTTTCAGCAAAGTTGTAGAACATATTATTACAAGAAAGTTTGCTGCACTAACTTCATATGTACTCGTTTAAGATAGGAAAATCGTGTTTTTCATATAAGATCTCTTAAAATTAGTTTTTAATTATAATTTTGTTTTCAGTTTTATACACATTTTAAAATATGCAGAACACACCACATTTTTAGAGTATAGTATGTGTCTATCTTTACTTATTGCACAAATTTATCGCTTTTTGTACCAAAAATAACCCATTTTCGAAAAACAAGTTACTCGACGGGTGGTAGATTGAACAACGTGGATCTAAACAAGATGATTTATGCTGATAAGTCCAAAACTACGAAGAAATTTTGAGATCTTACAGACTAAGCTCATATAGTTGCAGGGCAGTTGTACAGATTTCAGGAAAATTTCCCAAAATTTAGTGAAGATCAAATAGCTTCTAAAAATAAAGTAAGTTCTAAAACTCTGTTGAGCTTAAATATTTAAGGGATGTTACGTCGCTTCAGACAGTTCTGAGACAATTTCATGATAATCAGGAAAATTGCTGGAACTTCAAGGAAGTTCCGAGAACTTCAAGTAAATTTCGAGAAATTTAGGAAAATTACTTCAAATTCATTAAAATGATAAGAACTTACAAGAAATATCGAATATTAGAGATGTATATAGAACTTAAGGAAAAATTAGGAAACTTCACAGAAATTGTGAGAAATTAATGGAAGTGCAGAAAACGATGAGATGGTTAGAGATTTTTAGGGAAGTTCCATTGATGTCAGGGCAAATTCAGAAACATCATCAGAATCTCCATCATCAAAAATTGTAGGAAGACGTTTCAAAGTTTAAAAAAATGTTGATTTTGAAGAAGCTTTATGAACATACTACAGGATAGTAAGGGAACTTATGCAAAATGTCAGACATTTCAGGGAAGCTTCTAAAGCATCAAGGTGTTTTCATCACTTTCAGGGAAATTCAGGAATATTTAAAGAAATTCTATGAACCTCAGGGATGCCAGAAAACTATAGATAAGTCGAGAAAAGTTCAGAGAACTTTCAGAAAATTGTGGAAGTTTCAAGAACCTTATTGAAGATAGGTTTAGAAATCTTTAGGGAGTTCCAGTAACTTCAAGAAAGTTCAGACTATCGGTGAAATTTAAAGATTGTAAAGGTTAGGTTTTTGTAAATTGAAGACAGCACCATGAGCTTCAGGAAAAATTTGAAAAACTTCAAGAAAGTTCCGAGATTTTCTGGGAAGCCTAGAGAACTCCTGACAAATTAAGAAATATTCAGACATATTTTCGAAATTATCAGAAGAGCTTTTTTTGACAGTTTCATTAATTTCAGGACAGTACCAGAAACTTCAGGAGCATTTCAAGAATTTCAGGGCAGCTTCGAGACATAAAAAAAAATTGCTGGAACTTTACAGAAGTTGCGGGAAACTCCGGGAATTTCTGAAAACTTCAACATAGATTCGAGGTTTTAAGGGAAGTCTATAGAACTTCAAGTTAATAGATTTATAAGCAGTTTAATTTTTTTTTCAGGGATGATCCGAGCATTTCTAGGAAGATTAGAAAATTTCAGAGCAGCTTTATTAAATTATTGCAGCTTTCAAGAATCGTCCTGGAATTTTGTAATTAGAGATCTTCAAGAATGTTACAAATCATCTCTAATCTAATCTGATCTAATCTTACACCAATACAGCCTGCTCATGAAAGCATCCTGGACAATGAAGGATATTCCTCCATAATTTTTCTTGTCAAGAGATGCGCAAAATATATCAAAACGGCCAGACCTGTGCCAGTGTAGCATTTAAGGGATAAGGGATTTTCCGAAATTTTTCCAATACATTATAGTTAAAGTTTGTATTAGCCGGCAAAAGCAACATCAAACACGCCGAGAAATGTTAATAAATCCAATTATTAGCAAAAGAGAAAATCGATGAAGAGAATCGATCATTGCAGTTAGACCCTTATGATTCCGAACGCTAGAATTTTCCGATTTTTGTTTCCCCAAAATGCATTCATCACAGTTATGAAATTTCTCTCAATGGTGGTATCTTGTTCAAAATGCCAAACTGCTCCCATAGATGATACATTCAGCTCATTGTACTCAATGGTTTTATACACTTGAAACAATAATGGATATTTTTAAAACACATTTATTTCAGTATGTTATTTAATAACAAAAAATCTAAGTAACAATAGTGTAAATGATGATTGGTTTACATCAGTCTGTTTTTTTCTATCGGTAAGCAATGCTACAAAACGTCGGTCAATTGAAATTAACCGAACACTTTGGCAACGGGCGCTACTGGAACCAGCGCCTTGTGTACCAATGGGCCGCGCTGAACGATTGCGTTGAAACCGTTGATTGGATCAGCAGTGTAGATCACAGTGCGCACGGTACCGTCCGGCTCCACCAACGAATAAGAGCCTATAAAAGAGATATACAAGTTTCGTCAAGTTAAAAAGCTCCATGGGGAGAAGGCAATCAAAAGCTCAAGAGTGCATTTTGCCGTAAAAAAAGCTCACTAACCCTTCACGACATCACCATCTCGGGTTTCTTGCTGGCTCTTGTTATCGCCGGTTAAAGCATCTTGAACACTGTACGCGTAGGTATACTGTGGTAGTGGATCATAGTTGGTATTGATTACTGGTGCTACTGGAGCAATTGCTGCTACAGGTGCAGCAGCAAATCGGGCACCAGGTAGAAGAATTCCACAATTGCTCAGTCCGATCATGCAAACGGTAACGAACACAACCTGTAACGAAACACATTCACTGTAATATCTTATTCGCTAAACTAGAACGTAAACGTACGACTATACCTTGAAAGCAGCCATTCTTATCTTTTGGTACACGTATTGCTTTGCTATAGATAACACTATTGATTTACACTTGGATGTTTGAAACTACTTTGATAGCTGTAATATTAATTTCCGAGTTTATAAAGGGATCGATCGTCTTCACCCCGCTCTTGGTGACAAATTATTTAATTATATTGTAATATATGTCCGAAAATAGCGGTACATGATTGGTGACGAACCGAGGCAACGGAATAAACGATATACATTATAACTGGGTACGTGAGACATAAGCGCAAGCGGTTGCAGTTTCAGTACATGCATAATCCGTACGTTCGTCGGTTGCGTTTCGATCAATCAAACAATGATAATTTTTCGGACATACGCCCACCAGGGATTGTTACATAATTATTACATATAGAGAAATTTTACGATTTGGTGGACATAAATGCATACTATTGACACAGTTGCACGGTTGCTTCGAACGAAATGCATATTAATTGGCGACAAATTATTAGTAAAGGAACATGAGTTGTCATCTGACATTCGCAACTTGACCTTGAACTATGAAGGTGAATATTTAAAGTCAGGTTGTCAAAGTCTATTGGTCAAGAGCGACAGGGTTTAGATCAACAATTCTAGATTTACGGGTCGCAAGTTATTCTTAGAAGGGTCACAGGAATTCAGACAACTTTTTAAAGTTTTGAATTGCATTTTGAACTGCATACATTAACTTCATTGGCTACCGGGCTATTAAAAAAAATCAAAATGTTGCTAAGGGGCTGTCCATAAACTACGTAGACAGTTTAGGGGAGGGGGGGGGGGGTTGACAATTATCGACGGCCCATACAAATTTAAAAAAATTTGTATGGACAATTGTCTATGCAGGGGGAGGGGGGGGGGTCAAGAATCCCAAAAAAAAACTGTCTACGTAATTTATGAATAGGCCCTAACCTATTTGACCGATTTTTTTGAAACATTGGCGGTAGGTTCACTTTCAATTGAAGTTTCAAAACATGGTTCTACACAAAAATCTGGGACCCTGTGGCCGTAGGTTTCTGGGTCAGGAGTGGTAAAACGCATGCTAAAGATTCCGAACAAAAACTGGTGTGCCCATTAAATCATGATGCTTTGAGGCATTTCTGATCAAATAGCCAACCGGACGAACATACTCAGTGCCGTTGAAAAAGTGGCCATTCGCGGAATTGACGGATTCTTTGATGATGCACAAAGCAAAAAATTATGCATTTCTTGTTCGAACTATGCCCAAACAGATTCAAAGTGTCTGTGTGGATCATACACGACGTATTCCAAAGAATATCAGAGGTTCTAGGTTCTCTAAATCGTCCTGGAGTTCAGATTATGTATTCTACTAGATCAACCAAGACAGCACAGAAAAAAATCTGAATTTTACTGATGGTGTAAACATCCATACATGCAAACATTCATGCATATAAACTTCATTTTCACGTAAACCAGAAACTTGCAAAAATTGTTACTTACAAAGATGGACGGTTGCATACAATTTATGGAATGTCTCATGACATGTCTCATAAATTTACGCGATCTATAATGTAAACTTGTATGATGTATGACGTTCTATTTACGTGCATCATAATAACGTGAATTTACACTACTTTTCGAACGTTGTGGGACAATTTCTGTAGTATTGAAATATATCCAAACAGTTTCTTAGTGTCTACTATGCACTACTTATTGCCATGTATACCAGGTTCTCCTAGGTTCTCCAAATCGTCTTGGAGTTCAGAAGATGTGTTCTACAGTATCGAAATATGTCCAAACAGATTGAAGGTGTCTAAAGGGTGATACGGTCAAAATTTGGTCAATATCAACTTGACGTATTTCTTTCAATTTTGCATTTAAAAAACCTGAACACCCCTCATTTTGAAGGTGTGTGTGTGTAGAATGTTGCTCCTATTTTGATTTTGGAATTCACTCTTCAGTTGTCAAAATGCCGTCCAAGCAAGAAGAGCAGCGTATCAAAATTTTGCTCGCGCATCGCGAAAATCCGAGCTACTCGCACGCAAAGTTGGCAAAATCGCTAAAAGTTGCCAAATCAACCGTTACAAATGTAATTAAAGTGTTTGGGGAACGTTTGTCGACAGCCAGGAAGTCTGGATCGGGGGGAAATCGAAAACCGGAAGCCGCTGAGACGACAAAGAGAGTTGCCGGTAGTTTCAAGCGAAACCCTAACCTCTCTCTCCGAGATGCCGCAAATAAGCTGGGTGTATCGTCTACAACCGTGCATCGAGCCAAAAAACGAGCCGGACTATCGACTTACAAGAAGGTAGTGACTCCAAATCGCGATGATAAACAAAATACGACGGCCAAAGCGCGATCCCGGAGGCTGTACACGACGATGCTGACGAAGTTTGACTGCGTGGTAATGGACGACGAAACCTACGTCAAAGCCGACTACAAGCAGCTTCCGGGACAGGAGTTTTATACGGAAAAAGGAAGAGGAAAGGTAGCAGATGTTTTCAAGCACATGAAACTGTCAAAGTTCGCAAAGAAATATCTGGTTTGGCAAGCCATCTGTACCTGTGGCTTGAAAAGCAGCATTTTCATAGCTTCCGGGACTGTCAACCAAGAAATTTACGTGAAAGAGTGTTTGAATAAACGTCTGCTGCCTTTCCTGAAGAAACACGGTTGTTCCGTACTGTTTTGGCCGGATTTGGCATCTTGCCATTACGGTAAAAAGGCCATGGAGTGGTACGCCGCCAACAACGTGCAGGTGGTTCCCAAGGACAAGAACCCTCCCAACACGCCAGAGCTCCGCCCAATTGAGAAATACTGGGCTATTGTCAAGCGGAACCTAAAGAAGACCAAAAAAACTGCTAAGGGCGAGCAGCAGTTCAAGGCAAACTGGCTTTCTGCGGCGAAGAAGGTGGACAAGGTGGCTGTACAAAATCTGATGGCAGGGGTCAAGCGTAAGGCCCGGCAATTCGGATTTGGAAAAGCGGAAGCCTAACTGAATATTTTTCCTGAATTTTATACTAATTGAACTTGAAAAAGAAATTTAATTTGATTTTTTAAATAAACGATTTCACCGATTTACACGCGTTTTCCCTTGACCAAATTTTGACCGTATCACCCTTTAAGTGGATTATGCACGACCTATTGCCAAGTTTGCCAGATGTTCTAGGTTCTCTAAATCTTCCTAGAGTTCAGATGATGTGTTCTACTAAATCAACCAAAACTGGGACAATATCTGTAGTATCGAAAAATGACCAAAACTATACAATGTGTCTGTGTGTTTAAGCGGCGCCGGTGATGTAGTGGTAAGCGTGATTACCTCTCACCCCAAATGGCCTGGGTTCAATCCCAGTTGGCGCCACCGGGATGTTTTGTGGCACAACATCTCTGATCACGCCTTTAAAGCCGTTGGTCCCCGGTTCATGAGTTGATGGGTCGATAGGTGAAGGGTCCAGGTGTGAGAGCTGCCTCGCTGGCGTCGGTAGCAGATCGACGGTAAACAAATGAAGGGAAAAAAATGTCTCTGTGTGGATCATGCACAATCTATTGACATGTTCACCAGAAGTTCTTGGTTCTGCAAACCATCCTGAAGTTCAGATGATTTGTTCAACTACAATGTCTGTAGTATCAAAATATGTCCAAGCAGATTCATAGCGGCTGTGAGGATCATGCACAACCAATTTCCATGTACACCAGACGTTCTAGGTTGTTCAAATCGTCCTGGAGTTAAAATGGTGTGTTCTACTAGATCAACCATGACTGGAACAATGTCTTTAAAATCAAATTATGCCCAAACAGATTCAATATGAATATGTGGATGTTTCACGACCTATTTCCTTGTATATCAGAAGTTCTAGGTTATCCAAATCGTCCTGGAGTTCATATGATTTGTTCTACTAGATCAACCAAGACTGGGGCAATGCCTGTGATCTAGTTGAACAAATCATCAGAACTCCAGGACAATTTGGAGAACCTAGAGCATCTGGTATACAAGGAAATAGGTTGTGCATGATCCTAACAGCCACCAAGAATCTATTTGTCATAGGCATTTTGATTCTGTTTGGACATATTTCGAATCATAAAGCGTAAAGCTCAAAGAAAATATTGAAAAGAATTTTAGATGAATTGTAAGGGCATGCTCGAGTTATTAATTGAGAGCTTTCGATGTCTGTACCATTTTTGCATTAGTATAATTGTGCGGCAAGTAACACTAGCTTATACAGGCAGAGTGCTAGTTGGGAAAATGGGTGTCGCAACGCGAATGCATCGGGAAATCTCTCTTGAAAATTACGATTTCGGCGGGTTCAATCAAGTGAAAACAGTGCTATTTGGTGAAAATTGGCAAAATTTTATTTGCAGAAGAAGTGGAAGTGTCTTGCTATCACAGCGAGAAATAAATTTAATTCGCGGCCAGTGATAGAAAATAAAAGTGTTGCACAGTGCGGAAACGAGCGTACTTCTGTACGTTTTTTAATTCTTTTTTGTGATGTCTCTGGCTGGTGCCACCCAGTGGCCCCAAATAATATGTAGGGAGGCAAAATTTCTTTCTTGGCGGAAGAAGGAAGAAGTGGATTACCTGTGAAGTGTTTATTTTGCTACAACTTGGTAAAATTTTCTAAATTTTTCGGGCGCCATTTTGACGGCGATAGAATTCTCTCAAAGGAGGGGAAAATATGAAAAAAAAAGGAGTGAGTGATGGGATTTACAACGTTCATACGCACACACACGAATAGAGAGTGTGAAATCTACAGCCATTGAAGTGTGGAGGAAGCGAATGAACGAAAAAAATCGTTTCCACCAATACAGAAAAGAGTGCTCAGGCCACGAAGTTTCCGTAGTGCGAGGAGAGTCGAAATAGTAAGAATAACACAGAAAAGAAATACGCTCACAGTGGTAGTGTGATTGATCCATGGTTATCTTGGAAGGCACTGTTATTTTGCGTGTGCAGTGACAAAGAAGAGAGCAAGGAAAAGAGCGAGAAAAGTGAATCAATTTCTACAAACGTACAGACGGCTAGCAGTGTGTGAATGGTTCTAGCGGTGCTTGCGCTGCGTAGAGATTCTGGAGTGGAGAGGGCCGATATAACGCGAGGGGAAGTACGTCTATCAGATGAAGAGAACACTCTCAGTGGA